AAAATCTTTTTGAAAATTGTTAACATTTAATGAAGTCTATTTGGCCATAAACAAGTAATAATAATACTGATATTTACTATGGGAGCAGATTTTTCATTTGAAATCTTGGCTATTATGAAAATATATAAGGTGGTTTCAGGTTGTAGTTTCAAAATATTAATGATGAGATGAATGATTCTCTGTGCAAGGTGACTTAAAAATGCATTTACCTAAATTGATAATGGGTTGTTTCAGGTTTTTTAAATATATTATAATGTGTAGGGTACTGTTACATTTCTAAATTGTGCGATTTGGTTAACAATGGTATCACCTACATTGTTAGAAAAGCAATTTCTCTTATAATCTAGATGTTGTTAGATTAAAAATTATACTGTCAGAGAAAAAGAGAAAAATAAATGGGTTAAGAAACACTCTATCTGACCATGTGCTGTAACATTTTGAAGTTCTGTAATTTAAGAAGTCATAAACTTCCAAGTTTTGTCTATATTTAAAAGGAACTTTCAGCTAAAATTATTTGGTCCTCACTTATGAAATTTAAGATTGTTAGCTAAGCTATTTGGAGTTATTGTTTAAATCAAGTATTTGTAAAAGTATTTTTGTGAAAGGAAACTTGGTAATTATGAAAGAAAGGGCCTTGTAAAAACTCCTTGTAATTAATTTAGTTTGTTATAATAACAGGAAAGCTGTTTTTTAGAACGGGAAATACTTTTATGAAGAAACATTTCGTAAAATCTTTTGTGTGATTTTTAGAAGGCTTACTAAATTTCCATTTGCAAGCTAATTTGTTGCAAATAATGATTTTATATTGATACACATGTATAAGATTCGATTCCTGAAGTGTCTCGTTCTTTCAGATTAAATATGGGTAGAGAACAATAAATAAGCTTGAGAAACAGAGATGCAAATCTATTAGAGTACTAACTCATGATCTTAATGGAAATTTGATTTTATTCATGATATTGTTTAATCAGGAACTAGAACAGGAGTAGGAATGCATGCAAACCATGATAGTTATATTGTGAAAAAAAAACATAGACCAAAAAAAAAAACCTGAAGAAAAATTGAAAAAGTAAAAAAAAAGTATGCTTCAATCTGTATTAAGACACCATCGAGTCTTTCTCTGGGGATGAATAGTATTTTTCGTCACAAGTCCTTCGGAGTTGTCTTGGATCATTGTATTGCTGAGAATAGCTATGTCATTCACAGCTGATCATCTTACAATATTGTTGTTACTCTGTACACAGTACATTTCACTTTGCATCAACTCACGTAAGTCTTTCCAAGTTTTCCTGAGAGTATCTTGCTCATCATTTCTTATAGCACAATAATATTCCATCATAATAATATAGCACAATTTATTCAGCCATTCCCTAATTGATGGGCATCCCCTCAATTTTCAATGCTTTGCCACCAGAAAAGAGCTGCTAGAGATATTTTTGTACATATAGGTTCTTCTCCTTTTTGTTTTTATTTCTTTTGGGATACAGACCTAGTAGTGGTATTGCTAGGTGAAAGGGTATGCCCTTTGGGCATAGTTCCAAATTGCTCTACAGAATGGTTGAATCAGTTTCAACTCCACCAACAGTGTATGTCTCATTTTTCCCACATCCCTTGTACCACCTGTCATTTTCCTTTTCTTTCCTATTAAGCAATGTAATAGGTACAAGGTAGCACCTCAGAATTCTTTTAATTTGCATTTCTCCAATCAATCATTTTTTTCATATGGCTATAGATAGCTTTAGTTACTTCATCTAAAAACTGTATTTTTTAAAAACTGTATTATCCTATCTAAGAAAAGAAATTTTAAGTGTAGGCTGATGGGTGTATTCCTGCTCATTGTATTTGTTCAGACAGGCCCTGGGAAAATGTTAATTCTCCTTATTATCAAGACAGGTGATATGGAAATTGATGTCTCTTTGTCCAAGATTTGAGTGACCTAAGTCACATACCCCAACATAGCCCACCTCCCATTTGGTTAAGCAATCATAGTTGAGTAAGCACCCTTCAGGAATACCTCCTCTTCAAAGAGCATATAAACTATGACCCCTCCACCATTAGGGGTCTTTGGTCTAAGAGACATGGCCAAATGATCATTCTTTTATTAATAACCTGCTGGCCTTATTAATAAAATGATTAAATTCACCAGAAACTATGTCTCTTGAACTTTTTAATCATCATACTATTACAACTACTATTATTACTACTACTACTACTACTAATACCATCACCGCCACCAGTACTACTGGGGCTGCTGCTGCTGCTGCTGCTACTACTACTACTACTACTACTACTACTACTACTACTACTACTACTACTACTAC